CTGTCGAATTTTTCATGAGCTTCTTCTTTAACAATCCTGACAGCTTAGCTAACATCATTAAATAAAATGTATACATAATTTGCTACGGTAATCAGTTCCTAAAACACTTGCCATTCAAAAAGGAAACTTTAAAACGGATCATAACACTGAATATTTAAAACTTAATATTTCCAGTTTTATAAATACATAATCAGTGGGAATTTTATGTCACAGAATATAAACAAAAAAAAAGAAATGACGGAGTTTTATAATGCGTTAGACAGTTCCACTACATAAAACCATCAGTGGCACACGAAAGCCGAGGCAGTTACTTCAAAGAAACTGATTGAAAGAAAGTCCATACTTTAAGTAAAAAGATACATTAATTATTATCGACTTATTTTTCTTTGTCCAGGAAATAATGTAATAATATGATATTAAAGTAAGTAAAACAGGCTATAAATTTGACAAGGTACGTAAGTATTGTAATGTTAACTGCAAAACATTTCATTGTTATAATACATAATAAAATTATGTTATCTTTATTGATTGTTTGTAGTGTTTATTTTTGATTTCAAGGTAAATTTTCAGCTTGTGCTAAATTCTATTTGATTTAATTTGGCTTCCTTATTATATATGTACCTAGACCTGTATACAAACGGGTGAAAGTATTTTGAATTATTTATAATAAATACAGGATATAGTACCTACAGACAGACAAATAATCATATGAACTTAAGAAGTCTATTATTTCGATATACCAGATATACACTTATATATTTTATATATGAGGGTGTTAAATGTGTATAGATATAAAAGAAGATGAAATCAAGCAAATCTAGCCTAACCTAACCTACCGCAACCTGTAAAATAAAATCCAACTAATAAATTAGTAAATATTTGTTGAGACGTCCCATCTATTTTTTGCATTGGAAACCGCAGTTAATCAGTTACGCCACTGGAATTATTTATTAATAATTTAAAATTATGTTGCATCTGAAGTATCAAATTTAGAATTTAGATAATTAATTTCACTGTTGCGTCTGCTATTCAAATTTATATACCAATACAAAGAGATAGCAGCAATTTTACAGTTATATAACCATTCAACATCCTATGCAAATTCACCTTTACATTTGACATTACTTTTTGAAAAATTTTAATGACAGTTCGCCTTTACAGAACTATGAAGAGACTATTATGGAATCCATAATACAACGAAGACAAAAAGTCGTATTTAAAGTTTAAAATAGAAACCTAAGAGAAATTTGCCAATATTCCTTTTATGTTTACGGAGAACAACATCAGTCAAATTGAATTTAATATTTCCGTCGTGTACAGGGTGATTCACGAAGTTTTCCCTCCACTCAAAGAGTGTGTTCTAAAGGTCATTTTAAGCACAAAAGTCCATATTAGTTTAGATCCGATTCTCAAAAATTTGGGAATTGTGACGGATTACAAATTTATTATTTTATAATTGACGTTGTAATTATGTTAAACTGAGTTTAAATATTTTCAATATATTTACAATTTCTCATAATTCACTTACTTTTGAGAATTAGACCCTTTTTTATTTTAAATGACGGATAAGAACACGCTCGTTGAGTGGCGGGAAAACTTTGTGAATAACCCTGTATTTGTTGTACCTATACCTTCTTCTATTACTTAAACTATTAATTTTACAAACATAACTGTACACTAGTGGGTAGTAGAGAACCGAACATAGGGATAGTCAAAAGGCGACATCATCTTTTGAAAATTACGACGTGGTGTAGAAAAATTCATATAAACAACCAAAATGTGCATCTTCGCTTGAATTGAAAAGATCACCAAGTCTGCCTATTTTATTTTTTCTTATTAGGTACATTTTTCATTTTTAACCTTATTTTCCATACTAATTCAGAAGGGATAAAGATGTATAGAGACATAAAACAAATGATAGCACAAGATTGAGTTGCTATTAACTAAATGAAATCACTCTGAGACGTGAAGAGTTAATTGGAGACATGCTAGAAGCAGAAACAGAAGTAAACAGGGGCAGAGGAAGGCCTAGATTAAATTAGTTGGTGCATAGTTGAAAATGTGGATGTTTCTATTTTCGGGAAATGTGAAAATTCACCATTGTCCAGGAAAGGAATAAATGACAACAACATGACCATGACTGTGAAATATTCAATAAACTTATTATTTTTACACCAGTTGGCACAAACAATTGATTTCAACCCTTTAGATCTCGAAGAATTTTATGTTAGTTAAGGGAGAAATGTTGCCTTTGTTTACATTTATATTTATCTGTTACGTGGTCATTAATATCTTATACACACTATTCATGCAATGTTTGTTGTCGTATCATCAGCTACAATGAATTAATATTCATGAGTTCATATAAAAGTAATTTAATGACAAAAATTAAACATCTGAAGTTCTTGTTTTTTGAAAATTAAGTAATTCAAATGTATTGTATCTATCTATTTACTATAAGCTTTTTTATCTGAGTTATTGGGTGAAATCATCTCGGAAAAAAAAAAACAATTAGCATTATGCTAAGCGTATTATATGTCAACTTGAACGTATTGCAGACAGATCCTATAAAATTGTTTTTAACTTTAATAACATAAGTAAGCGAGGCAGTGATTTAGTAGTAGATCTTCACGATTTTACTCCATCATTCTTTGTATATTACTTAAAAAATATTCAAGTTAAACGATAAAAATGAATTACTATTAGTTGTTATTTTATTACTGTCTAGTTTTTTTGTTTCGGTTAGGGGTATTTTGTTATGTGCTGACGTTTCGTAAACTTTACACTTCAGTTCTTCATAGAACACTTGGACTGTGTACTGATGTTCGTGAAAAATCTAATTTAATTATAATCAATGAACAATTTAAAAAAGCAGTGTATATCTTTGATCAATTCCAACATATGACTGTAAGGTCCCATAGGAATCGCTTCAACCGTTTCAAAGATTAACCCGAATATATCGACAAGTATCTTTTGCGTATGCTACAATAATGCGGAATTTCTTCGATTATACAATATACAAATTAAGTATTTATTACGTCCTTTTGTTTACTGCGTGTGAAGATACAATCGCATTCATTATTATTCAAGGATAGAGTTTGAGAAGCACAAAATAATGAATCAATATACGTAATTAGTCAATAATAAAGGCCAATAAATCCTCGACCCTAGCAAATAAATGTGAAAGTCACATTTCATCAGATAAAGCACATACAATACCTCTTTACCATTCAGTTTTTCCTATCACGTTGTGATTTTAGCGCCTTCGTTACACCAACATTTTTTATTGCAATTTTCACACTGTTTATTGATTAACCGACTCCTTTCTTTCACATGTACTGTCTGCTTTTCCAAATAAGTACCGCAAATAATCCAAGGAGATAAATATTCCAATTTTGGCATCGCAGCAATGTCAGATTATTCTTAACCCGTAGCGTGAAATTCAATTGAACAAAAAAATGCTTCCTAGTGCTGCATAATACAAAAAAGATGTACAAAATTTCACCATATCAAACGCTTTTAACCTTATCGAAACTAAGTTTGTAGTCCGTGGAAGTTGCCATTGTTGATCTGAACGCATTGCAGGAGGAAAAGTTACCATATGCTTTACTACAAATCTGTGATAGTAGTAATAGTTACACTTGACTTTTAGTTGGCAAATTGTATTCACATTCTAATAAACTAGGAAATAATCAAACATCTCAAATGGCCTTGCCATTAGTCTGTCAAGACCCTTTTTCTGAGGAACGTGTGGAGCTGTCAAATCGAAATTAACATCCAATAAATCAGATCTGCAATATCCCTTGGAGCTGTGAGAAAATCAAACTTCTGAGTCAACGAAATCAAAAGATACAAAAACGAATACCCTTCATGCCGCATATTTTGATACTAGCTAGGAAATCAAAACCTGTAGGTTTGGCCTACAATTATGAAATTTGGCAAGATATTTTATAGCACAAGTAAAGGGAAAAATCGAAAACGTAAATTTTTTCTTAGTTACATCACTAAAAGAGTTTCTTAATAATTATAGTATTGCAAATATAAGTTTTGTGGGCTTATTTTGAAGGGACACTCAAAGCAAAAATCTTCGAGGCTCAATTACCTTGACGAACGAACTATTTACAATCTACAAATTTGTACGTAACCCTCCGACATGCCCTTGGATCCATTATTCGTTCCGTTGTCGTTGTGGTTGCGCGCGCAAACTAAACGCGTCACAGATAGGGTGTTGAAAATCGTATTTGTAATTATTAACATTTTCCGCACTAAACAAAATGTGTCCCTTCAATCCCTTAGTAATATAATTCAGTACCTATACACATTCATGTTTTTAATTATTCAAACTACATACGTAATTAATTATAAAAGATACTGTTTTATTAAAAAAAAACAGTATTACAATATTTACATAGCAAATTGTAATAATAATTATTATAATTTTTTATAATAAAAACCAAAGAATGAATTTCAATACCTACTTTATTACAGATGACCTTTTTACCATCTAACAATCATAGTTTTTCCTTGTTACGATAAAGATTGAAATTTCTTGCCCTTTCTGTTGAAAAGTAGTTTGTTCTATGGCTTAGGTAAGACGAAAATTGTGAAATTCTACCAATCAACTTAACGTAACGATGATTTGCAAGTAAACTTCTTCAACGACTGCATAATGAAGAAGAAAACGAAAAGTGCACAAAACAATTAAAGTCTTTATAGAAATGTAAAGTATCCAGACTAATTAACTTTTTTAACACCTAAAAAGATTGTATCGGATTACCTAGGTTACCTATTTTAAAAATAACAATGCAGATTTAATGAGAAATATAACCCAAACTACTTTCCTATTTTAATTACTTTGAGCTAACGTTTTGTCAGAACTCTATTATGCATGATCTGTTGACCGTAATTATAATACATAATTTGAGTTCATTTTTGTCATTGCACTGAATCTATGATGCTGTTTAATTTAGACCATAACCGTTTTAATGACGAATTGAAATTAACAACAAAATTTGCTTTTGCAGGAGGGCAGTATTGGTCCTGATCTGGTAATTCGACCATTACCCAAAAGACTTCGTCAGCCATTGGACTCAACTACACCAGGAGACGAATCGACGACAACTTTGCAAACACCAACATCGACTTCTGTAGCAACAGATGATTACTCAACAAAATCAGCACAGCAAGAGAAACGCAGAAGACAACACGATGACGACGAAGTATTCTTAGATGACGATGGAGAACTCAACGCTGAGGTTGCCATCGACACCGGATTTCCTATAAAGAGGACTGAAGAGGGAGAGACTCTTGGACATCAACATATTGTCTACAAAAGGAAGAAAAATGGAGAAGAAAATTACAGCGATTACGGTAAATATTTATCACAATATAATCATAACTAACGACGAAAACAAGTAACGTTCTCTTTTGATGACGTTAAAGGGAAATCATTATTGACGTACAATTTTGATAAAGTGATTGTAATTCTGAGAAATAAACATTTCAGTTAAAGCTTAAAATTTCTAATAGTAATTTTGTATTGTTAATTAATGATAAACTAGAAATTTCCAATGCTTCTCTTTTGGTCAATATCACGATAAACTTTTTCCATATTTTTGAGTTTCTAGCTAATACAGATACCTGTACCTTTCATTTGATTTCACTCATGCCATATGACCACTCGTACCACATTCTTTTTTTTATAATGCCGCTACCCTTAATTTGATATGCGTAAGTTGAACAATGTACAATGTTAATTTTCGAATTTGATACCCCCGCCCTTATTTAAATTCTGATATTTTGAAAATTCAAAATAATGGTTTATGTAATTGTTTTTGTCTAGTCTTTCGAAATCAAAATAAGGACAATTTCAAATGTCTGAGAATATACAGGATGTTCTTTAAATTTTCGAGCATTCATTATATACTTACAGTACTTATGAAGATAAAAAGGGGTGTCAAATTACAAAATTGACCCTGTACCTCCGACCTACGAAACACTACTCCCAAATTGCTGTTAAGAACTTATGTATACAGATACATAAAAACTATTAACCGCAAATAACTAAAACGAACAGAAGAAAGAAGAAACAACTTGAGTAAAACTTTTTTAATATTAAATGAATTGAAAATATTGCGAGGACCAGAAATTATTTTCCTCTGCATTTTGGGTTATATTTTTAATTACTAATTTATATTTTGGGGAACAAAGAATTGATGGTGGTGTAAATGGTCAAGATATTATTATCGCGATTTTGGCTTCAATGAACTTCATCAGCGTACCGTATACAGTTTCGACAGAAAACAGACCCACTCTACCTGTTACCTTAAGACAGCGTTTTATAAATTACTACAAAAAGCGTGGTAAAAGCCATCTGTAGCATATTGCTGCATTTTATGGAATTCGAAAGCGTTTCACAAGATCCACAAGGACATCGATTTGTCAAAATCCACGGGGTAGCTAGCTTTACGTGGTAGGCACGTAACCAAAGAGAACTAAAAGTTGTTGATCATTATTGTGTCGAAACCATCAGACGCAAATTGTGGTTTCAATAGAATTTTCCACAAATTGCAGCAATAAGTATACATTAATATTTTGTGGAGTTGTAATTATACAGGATGTAATAATTTGTCAGCACTCATTTTTTTTTACTTACCTACTACTTTTGTAAGATAACAGTATTTATATATATAATAAAAAATCGTAAACAAACAAATAATAAAAATGTACTAATTTTGCAACAAAATATATATTTTAATTGCTAATATTATATATAAAAGAAATTATG